GAAAGAAGCAATGATATTTGGGAAACATTTCACTGTTACAATATGAAGAGTTGCATGTACAAAATATCTGTATATTTTACCCATCTAATGTGAAACCTGTGCATATTTGGATGAAAACAGCTGATTTCCTGGCAGAAATTGAAGAAAGACAAAGCTCTTCCTCAACAGCTCTCAGTCTCTCTCTGTTTTTAATTTTTAAAGTAGCCAGGCTTGAGAAGCTCACTTCACACAGACATGTTGTGGGAAATGGACCCATGTTCTTTCCAACTACTGCTGAGCTTCACTGTCTTTTCCATCACTGTCGTCACAGTCTTGCTAGATACGATGCTCTCACCGCTACCTGTAACATTCATGCATCACTAATTCTCTTGTTTTAATGTAAAATGCTTTGTACCTACTGCCATCTAGTGGTAAGAAAATTACATGATTACGCCGCTAGCCACTACTAACCATGGTTTCGTTCACACCGAGCTTAAGTGCAGCGGCTCTATTTCCCTCCTGTAGTGGCAGATCGACAGTCCTCAACTTAAAAGGTGAATCATATGAGTTTGAAAACATTTCTCCGTCGTGTTGCTAGCATGTGGTTGTTCTAAATGAAAATTAACGCGTTCTTTGATCTAAAATTTTGACTTCTAATGATTCACTTGCTGCTAGAGAGCCCCTTGGTGGTTGAATAAAAATACACAGAAAAGCCACACCGGGCTACAATCCACATGGTTCAAAGTTTAGGAAAAAGGTAGCAGCTTACAGTCCGGAAAATACGGTACCATAGGTGAAATTGAATAATTTCCACGGCACCCCTGACGATCACTCACGGCACACTAGTGTGCCGCGGAACAGTGGTTGAAAAACACTGCTTTAATCTCCCATGGCAACCATTCAGCTGTGCAAAACGTTTGGGTGGCCCTAGCTCCGTCTTCGAGGATGAAGTTCCTCCTCAGAGAAATCTCATAACATAAAGAACTAATAAAAAGGCTATGGCTACTGTACAAACTCGCAATGTTTTCATGAAATTGTGTGATTCTAGAAAGTGTATTTTAATATCTGTATATCTGTAGGAGAGTTTGGATAAAACCCGGGACGCACTTTCAGAAAGTAAGAGGTTGAACTACTCACTCACTGAGCAAACCCAGAACCTTAACTCGGCACAACAGGATTTATATGTTAGAATATCTGAGCTGGAGAAAAGTAACCAGACGCTGAAGGAGGTGAGCCACACTGTACTCCTGTGAGTGATGCTGCAAAGGTTGAGGCTCTTCTCTGAAGTATGAATTGATAAACTCTGTCACAGAGTCAGAAGCAACAGGAGGAGGCTCAACTACAAGTGTCCATGCACACCAACAGAGAGAAGAAGGAGCTGCAGGAAAAGCTCACCAACATGCAGAGCTCTTTGCAAAAGCTTCAGAACGAGAAAGCAAAGATGGAGAAGGCGTTGACACACCTCAGTAAAGACAAGTCTGCACTTAGAAAGGCATTAGAGAAAGTGAGTGTGCTCATTTTCACAGCCTCATTTTGAAAGTACTTTTTAAAGAACTCTATATTTATATATGTATAAAAATATACTTTCTACCTTAAAGCCTTCGAAGGTTTTTTTGGTCAAAAAAAAAAAAAATCTGAAACATCTGAATTATATGAGCAAGCCAAGCCACAATTGGCTTTAAATGTAATTAAAGTATCTTAAATTCAGTTCTGCAACTGCTGGAAGCCTTTATACAAAAGAAGCCAGAACTGAAGTAGTATGTGTTTAGTGTTGCTCAGAGACCTTGCTGCCACACTCTGGACTCTATGAATACATGCAGATGCTGAGGCCATAGGGTACAATGAGTCTTGCAGGAACAAATTATTTTTGTAATTTAATCATTTTTGCTACATATTAGCTGTGTTTTTTGTATAAAGTTGTCCTAAAAAAATCCACAAGACAAACTAAATGTTGCTGATTCATGCTACAAACATGCTAAAACTTGAGTGTTGGAAGAGTCATGGTGAGTTTGTTACCTTTTCTCTGTTGTCAGGTGGAGATGGAGAGACTCAGGAAAGAAGAGGAGGTAGTATCTGTTGCCAGGGAGAAAGCTCAGCTGGAGCAGACACTGCAAAGCCTGGAGAAAGAGCTGACTGAAGAGCAGAGAGTAGTTCAGACTCTCAAGGTAAGAAGATCCTTGCAACGTGGGCCATGAGGAAAGACCTGTTCTGAATGAGGTGAAAAAAATTAAATGGGAAATTTCAGTCAGTTCAAGCTCACTTGTGTTATCGTGACTTGTCAAAATGTTTATGTATTTTGATCTTTTTCTCACTTTCACGTATTTTATTGGGATTTTTGGCCGTTTTAACTACCGATCCACTTTTTTCCCTTCCGATATCGATCCAGATATCCGAGGTTAACATCAGCCAATCCGATACAGAAAAACAGTGCTTTTTTCTGTAAAAAAATGTTTCTTTTTTTAAACACAGACATAAATGTATTGAATTCTGCATTTATTTTATAAGTCTACTCCAGTGCAGCACACCAATAGCTTCACAAACTTGGTCAATCTTTGATTTGTTCAGTCAGTGCAATTTGGATTATAACGCTCAATGGAAAATAAAAAATAAAGAAACTGAAAACAATAGGTTGACTGCTTTGGTCAAACATGTAATTAAAAAAAAAACTGCAACAAACCTTCTTTCAAATGGTTCAGAAATGCAATTAGGAATTGTAAATATAATGTAAAATAAATAATAAAACATGACGTCTTTTAGAGCACAAAACATAGAATTAGACTGACTAGATCTACCCTTATGGACTGGGAACATTGTCACGATACCAATAACTGTATCAGGACCGATACGGGTATTGGTATCGGATCGGTGCATCTTTAATTCTAACATATGGTTTGATCTAAACTTTTCTTTTTTCATTTCTGCCTGTATGTTTAATCAATCTGTCAACTAATCAAGTTTACTTGTATAGCACATTTCAGCAACAAGGCAGTTCAAAGTGTTTTACATGATAAAAACATAAACATCAGCAATTGAAACATTAAACATCAGGGTCAGGTGAAGCTTGAAGCTCTGTCACCGTTATGTCTTTGCCAGCATATAACAGCCTTTCTTTCAAGATTGCCCTGTATTCAGTTAGTCATCCTCCATAACTGTTGACCAGCATCCTTGCTGGGAAAAATGCTCCATCCTCTCTGCATGATGTTGTCACCAGCATGCTTCACCTAATGATGGTCTATTGAGTTAATAGCCAGTAACCATAAAAGTTTAAGGTTGCTGAAAGGCTTTATTGTGGTCTCATCTGACCAGAGCACTGCCACATGTTTGCTGTGTCCCTTACATGGCTAACAGCAGACTTTAAAAAGAACTTCTCAATACTGTATCAGGATCTTTTCTTTCATATAGGTCGTTTTTGTGGAGTGCACATCTAAGAGTTGCTGTATTTATTTAGGGGTACCAAAGTAAAGGTCAAGTTTAAGTCAAGTCAAGTTTATTTGTTTAACACATTTTAGCAACAAGGCAGTTCAAAGGGCTTTACATCATAAAAACATCATGACACCATTTATGAAACATGCAATAAACATGGCATTTTGTCAAATGCCTCCATCAAAATCATCAAGCAAATACACGAGATATGTTGATCAATGTTCGACTTAGTCCTGATGTGTTTATCTGAATTAGATTTGTTAAAAAATATAATAAGTTTTTTCTTCTTCTGTACCTCCTCTTGGCATGCAACATATAATCCTAATAAAACACACAAAAAAAATCTGTGGCAGGACTGTAACAAAATGTGAAAATATTCAAGTAATATAAATACTTTTGCAAGACATTGTATTACACTTAATTGTTTTTGATTTCTGAAATAAATGTATCTGAACACAAAGGAGTCTTCATAACGACTCCTTCATGTGTTATGTTATATTTATGACAGCACCATGTCAGTCTTATGCACACCCCTTCAAATAAAGTGTTACCGATT